GAATTCTGAGTTGTTAGTCTGTCTTTTTGAAATGTTTTAGTCATCTGTACCACAAGGACTTTTTTCAGTCACATATTCTTAGCTTCCTCTTTCCTAACCCAAGTCACAGCCTGTAAATACTTGGCAGTTGATGAAAAGCCAAAAAGTCCATTCTTCTCTATGAGCACCAGAATGTGGCTGGTACAGGTGTGTTGAAGAAATCCTCTCACGTTGACCATGAATGTTTGTCCACGAACGTTTGTCCACTTATGACTTTTGGTCACTGTTCCTGAAAGGAATATGTAAGGTTTTTTGCTTTTGATCACTGCTTTTGTCAGATGCAGTCTTTATTTTATTCAAAAATTCTGCTCCCAAATCCTTAATCCTAAAACAATGTTTGCATCTGCTAAAACAGTTTTCCTTGCTTCATTTATTACAGTCCATGTAGTTCTCTGAATGCTCCATCTCTCTGTTACTCTTAAAATTTCTTTGAAGATCAATTTGATCTTCTTAGAATTATTAAAAGTAAAAAAAAAGAAAAAGAAAGAGCATCTTGATTTTCAGTTGATATTTAGAGCTTTTGATTGCAAAATGGGTCTGTGTGGTTTGGCAAAGTACAAGTTCTTTGGTTATGTGCTTCCCTTTTGTTACCGTGTTAAATTCTGTTATCTGAGTTGTGGTTCTTGATCAGATCTGAATTTGCTTGTAAATTTCCAGAGGTGCAAAAAAAAAAAAAACCACCCAAGTCCCATAAACCCCAAAAAAAGTCCTTGCACAACCCTTATTGTTTGCATATTCATTTAAAGAAATATTTTGGCTTCTAAAGAAGAGAGCTGTAATTACAAGAGGGTATTGATTCTCTAATATATATGGTCTGTAAGTGAGTTCACAAAAACAGAAGCAGCACAGCTGGACCTGAGCAATCAAAAATGCAGAGTGTTTGAAAGAATCAGGTGTTGATCTTTCTTGGGTTTGTTTTGCATTGCTCTTTCTTTTAAATGAATGAGCTTCTAGCTGGTTTTGCCTTATACCCTGGGTGCATCAAACAGAGCAAACACAGGGGTGGCCTCACATGGGGCACTGGGTGCAGTTCTGGGCTCCACAATTTAGGAAGGATGTGAATGGAGGTCTTTGAATGCACCCAGAGAAGGGCAAAAAATCTGGTGGAAGGGCTGGAAGGAATGTCCTGTGAGGAGAGGCTGAGTGTTTTGAGCTTGTCTGGTTCGGAGAAGAGGAGAAGGGGTGACCTCAACACTCTGTACAGCTTCCTGAGGAGGGGAAGTGGAGAGGGAGGTGCTGAGCTTCTCTCCCTGCTCTCCAGTGACAGCACGGGTGGGAATGGTTCAAAGCTGCACTGGGGGAGGGTGTAGGTGAGACATCAGGAAGCATTTCTTTACCAAGAGGATGGTTGAACACTGGAAGAGGCTCCCCAGAGGGGTGGTCTGTGCCTCAAGCCTGTCAGTGCTCAAGAGACACTTGGACAGTGCCCTTAAAACAGCTTTAACTTGATCTGCACTGAGTTGCTCAGGCAGTTGCACTGGAGGGTTGTTGCGGGTCCCTTCCAAATGAAATAGGTTATTCTATTCTTTTCTATTCTATTCTACTCTATTCTATTCTCTTTTGATGTGGCATTTCACAGAAGTCAGAAATCATTTGCCTAATAGATAGCAGTTTAAAGGTGTGTATTTTTTCTGTTATTTTCTAATTGTTAACAGCTTTTTACTTCAGTTGCCCCTAGCACTGGAAACAAACATTCAGAAGGAAAAATGGATCACTGGTCTTGGTCAGAAACGAACAGCTTTCGACTTTTCACCCCTGAGTCCTTGGCAGCAATTGAGCAAAGAATTGCTGAGAAAAAAAAGCAGCCAGAGAAAGAAAAAGAGAAGAATAAGGACCAAGGAGTTGAAGAAGAACAACTTACTCCCCAGCTAGATCTGAAAATCTTCAAAAAGCTGCCATCTCTTTATGGAGACATTCCAGCAGAGCTCATTGGGGAACCCCTGGAGGATTTGGATCCATACTACAGTGATCACAAGGTTAAAACTTCCCAAAGCTTTTCTTTGATTTAACTTTGTCTGCTGAACTCTTAGGAAGAGATAGTAGAAGCTCTAGTTGGGAGATGCTGTGTTTTGATGGTTCTCTAGACAGGGCTTTCAATGTTACTGACATCTTTTGGGCCAGGAGTGCTAAGGTGTGCTCTGCTTTATGCCATGAAGATGCATCTTCAGTTCCAGTTAGCAGTCAGATTTAATTATGAGAACGTACTACACATGATTGATACACTTCTACAGGAAATATATTCAGGGATAAGGGATGCTTTGTTTTCCAGAGCAATTCCTATGATGCCTGCAAGGCTGAACTGCCTGTGGTATAAACAGTGCCTGTCCCAGAGTAGATCATGCTGGAATTGCAGATGCTTTCTCTGAATTCCAAAGATTATACCAATTAGGGAGGCATATTGGAGATATTTCCAGCACTCTGTGTTGCAAACCCATGTATTTGCGTTGTTGTAAATTAATTTTCTGTTAGTTTATGCCTCGTTGGCTTTGTTTATTGTACCACATTTATACTGCATATCCCCCATGTGATTGCAAAGGGGTTGGTGTTGTTGCCTCCAGGAGTGTCTACAGTAGATGCTCTAGGAATGCCTCCTCAATTAAATGTCTGTTGTATGATTGCTTACTGTTGAGGGGGACTTGACCTGAAGAGCAGGAGGTTCCATGCAGTGCTGTGCTCTTGTCTTTATGATATGCCCAGCAAGGCGTTGGAATATAATAATTGAATCAGAGAACATGCAGAAGACTTTGTTCTTCCAGAGATTTGTTTTCTCCAAGTAATCAAAGTAATATTTTTGATGAAGAGAAACTAAGGCTGATTCAGTAGAAGTCCCAGAACAGTAAGTACTATTTAATTGATTTAAGTAGTTTAATTACTTTGACCAAGTGAAAATGATCACTTGGTCTTCACATTCATTCTCATTACTGCTTCTTCCTCTCAGTCAATAATGCTCTTCCATAGAGCTGCTGTCTTTCCTTCAAAATGTGAATGGCCAGGTCACAGCTCCACGTAAGAAAACAGAAAGCTTTACTCATGATTGCAGTTAGATATAGTTCGAGATGCAGACTTGAAAACCTGAACATTTACTATTTTGGAAAATTTTAATTCATTTAAATATTTCATAACCTATCCAATGAATCTTTTCTTTTTAGACTTTTATGGTGCTAAATAAAAGCAGGACTATTTTCCGGTTTACTGCCACACCTGCCTTGTGGATATTTGGTCCTTTTAATCGAGTCAGAAAAGCAGCCATTAAAATTCTGACCAATCCATATCCTTTCACTGGTTTCCCTTATTTGAGTTTTAAAATATTTTGTACCATTTTCTGTCTTTTGTTTCCTCTTTTTATATTAATGTGAACCTAAGCTGTGATAGACATACGGCTGATAGAGATTTTTTAAAAGTTATCTTGAATCTTATGCTATAACAGCTGAGATATTTCCATGATGTTGGTACAAACTGATATTTAAAATCAATTTTGCAGATATTGGTATGGAACAACCTTTAGAGGCTATTATATGATATTGTAGCCCTTTTCCAGAACTTGTTCTAAATCTCTGCCGTGGTCACAAGGTTAAATTAAAAACATGCAAACCAGGGACTCCCTGGTTATTAAAATATGAAAGATGGGATTTACGCTGAAGCTTTTCTAGAAGAGTCTCATCCTAAGAAATGCATTCCACACTCAAGTTTAGAAGGTTCTGAAGAGTGCCCATCTTTCATATATTTGAAACAATATAACTGTAGTTCAGGGAATGTCAGAATGTGAAGGATTCGCAGGAGCAAAACCATCAACTGAGTAGTTTCTACTTCTTCTGCTAAACATCTGTTTACATTTGGAATTATTAACTTGTGAAAATTGGTCCTTTTAGTGGAACTGACTTTGAATGTGTATTCCTGCTATTAGAAATTATTAAATTTACTATTCACTTTCAACTAAACCCTATATTTAGGAACAGTGTTTATTTTTAAAAAAATCCCAACAGTTTTATTAGATGACAAGTGAACTTTTATGAAAGAAATGGTTTTTTTCCTATGCATGTTTTCATTCCCTACCATGTAAAGTGAGAAAGCTTTCTGAACTCCTGCAGAGCAGAGGGGTGTTTTGCTAACATGGATATGGAATCCCAGTTTCAAAGAACACTGGTTGTTCATAATGAAGCTTTGTCAACAGGGTTTCATTACTTTTTGTTTCTCCTCTCTTCTGTTAAACGTGTTGTGTCCCACTAAAGTTCTTACTTAGTTTCTTTGGAAAACACATGAAAAGTCCTGAGCATATTCAAAACCAAAGTCATTATCTGAAGATCTGTATGCTTTTTGTGTGGAAATCAGGACCTTCTATGAAATTCATTGTTTTATAATGAACTTCATTGTTTTATAATGTAGCATTTTTTCCTTAACTTACTATTCACATATTTTGCTTGGTTTATTGTATGTACTGTGTTACTCAATTGTATTCTACTGACTGTACGTAAGCTTCCACCAGAACTCGACTGGACTGAGTAAGTATCTCAGTGGCTGTGTGTTCCCTCTTTTTCCATGGATACTTACATGCAGGAGTGAAAAATTTAAATAATGTGGTGATCTAATTCAGGGCCTTGAAAATTCTCAAATAGACTCTGAGGAAGATTGAGGATTGTTATTCTATCTCACAGTCTTTGGTGGAGCTTCAGTGCCTTTTTGTAGAGGCTCACACCATATGCCCTCTCCTCTGCGTTGGTTAATTTTGCCACCTGGTGTGACATAGAAGGTTGCCCTATTTTTCCTTTTAAGGACTGAGCCTTTTAGAGGACTGTGGGGCAGGATTCTGACTTAAAATCTCTCATTCTACATCAATAACCTGAGTGTCTGTTCTGGTTGGCTCATGCAAAAACTGGAAAAGGATAAATGTCCATTCTGTTCTTTCTTCCTGTTTCCTGGTGACACTCCTGGGTCAGTTGTTCCCATTAGAAAGGGAACAACTGTAATGTACCTTTTGGACCTGTGCTCTGCATTCAGTGCAACTTGACTTAATGTTCTAGAATTAAATCTTGAAAATGTCCCTGGAGCCCCCTTTACCTTGGGGTAAGCATGGTGATAAGAACAGCTTTATTTTCTGTAGAGTTCTTTTCCATTACAGAGTATTTATCAGAATAAATATATAAAATGTACAAAATTTACAGGCTTAAAGATTTGTTCAGGTTTTTTGTTCAGTTGTTCTTTTGTTCTATTATTCTGCATGAATGTTGAGGCTTTGTGATTTTCCAGCCCACTTTAGAATATAAACACAGTGTTAAAAATGCTTCCTAAGGAAGTGTGAACTATCCTTCACTCAGAAATAATATCATATGCTTATGTGAACTTTTGTGGTTACAGATTTACTACCTGAAGTCTTACTAGAATTCAGGAACACATCTTCTTATAGCCATGATACTTCTGAAAGTAATCAGTCCTATTTTATTTCACATTGTCTACCTTTACTCCATTCAAGGACTAAATCTTAGGAAATACTGCATGTGCCTGAATGTGACTCAATCTCTTTAATACTTTTATTTCTATCACTTTAATATATTCTTTCCTCCTCAGAATTGCTTTTGCTGCCATATATACTACTGAAATATTGATAAAAATAGTAGCAAGAGGATTTGTTTGGAATGAATTTACCTTTCTTCGAGATCCATGGAACTGCTTGGATCTTTCTATTATTATCATAATGTAAGTACATCTCAGTTTTGTTTTACACTCAAGGGGAAAAAAACCAGATAAAATACTATTTGATGTTGCTGAAATTCCTTAGAGTGTTCAGCATCCTCCCTGCTAAAGAGTTACTGTGCTTGAACCACCGTTTGCACATCTGCAAAGAGAAAAATAGTCATAGGCTGGCTCAGCATGCTCATGGTTTGAAAAGCTACATCCTTGCCATTCAGTCCTGTGTGCTTTCATTTTACAGGTATATTACCATGTTTCAAAATATAGGCAATGTTTCAGCTCTTCGAACTTTCAGAGTACTGAGGACTTTGAAAGCCATTTCAGTAATACCAGGTGAGGAACAATCTTACTGATATCCTCTCCATTTCACCAGTACGCCAATTCTGATTCCTCTCCTGTTCTTGTCCTCAGTTTTCTGGTCGCTGTCTGTGACTGCTTATGGGATCCCAAGGTGTGACAGTTTTACAGTCTGTAGTAACTCTCAGCAGCACCCTAACAGAATTGGTTTAATTATCTTTCCTCTGAATAGTTTTGACAAAGGCAAATTTATATTCTGCATTTTTTATCCCATTACTTGTTGCAGTTTGAGGGGTTTCTGGAGGGTCACTACCAGCCACTCTGTGAAAGTTTTCAGGGCTGAGATCACCCCCCTGACGCCCAACCCTCATGGCAGGGACAGGCAGCGGAGGCACCTATGCCAGGAGACAGAGACCACACACAGCACGCAGGGAATCCAGCAGTGAAGAGAGCTTTATTCAAATCTCCCACAGCTTATAAGGGCTCCTAGGGAAAGGAGGGGATTGGTCATTCAGCTAGCCAATGCAAGGAGACAATATAATAACTATGGCAACACAGAAACCAATGATAGACAAGAGAGTTAACAACTTCAAAACCCCGGCAATTACTAATGTTCCATTTTAATTATCCCGGTGCCTTTGACTTTTTACCTTTGTCTTCCTGGAGCAGCCTCCTCTATTTGATATGTTTTCTTAACATAATATGGTTATATCTCCATATTTCTGTATCATTAGTTTCATTAACTTGCTAAGATTCATTGGCTTAATCTTCTCTGGTTTCTTCCCAAGAATGCTGACTTCACAATATTTGAGGCTTTCATCTGTTTCCTTACTGGCCAAAGCCACTCTCTGGATTCAGTGTAATACTTTCAACAGGATGTTGCATATACCATCCAGATACTTGATATGTTTGCAAGTCATGCCCCTAACTAGAATACCAATGGATGATTTCAGGATTTGCCTGCAAAAATTCATTTGAAAATGTATCAGTGACTATATATATTGTCATAATATATAGTAACTCTACCTATTCAATGTAATTGCCAATATATTTTTAATTTTGCTCTGGGATTATAGCAGGAATGAAACATAGAAAGTGTTTAATGTTAGTGTCAAAACCACACAACATATTTTCCTTTCATATCCAGTGTGGAGAATAGAGATCAAATACAATGTGACTTTTTTTTCTTGTAAAAAATCCTGGATAACACTGTCTCCATATATCATATCTCAGATTCAATTTTTCGGCCTCAGTATTGGTCTTTAGTTTACGTAAAAGGCATTTTCTCAGAATCCCAGAATGGCTGAGTTTGAAAGGGACATCTGGAGGTCAGCTGGTCCAGCCTCACTGCTCCAGCAGGGTCACTGAGAGCTGGTTGCCCAGGGCCAAGTCCAGACAACTTTTGTGTATCTCCAAGGATTGAGACTCCACAACCTCCCTGGGTAACCCGTGCCAGTGCTCAGTCACCCTCTCAGCACAAAAGTGTTTCCTGATGTTCAAATGGAACATCCCATGTCTCAGTTTGGGCCCACGGCCTCTGGTCCTGGCAC